GGTAACAGACTGGTTTTTTGCCTTCGCTTTTTGTAACAAATATACCAGGAAAACTGGTGTCCTCGCTCGTTGACTGTTTGCTTTTGTTTTTAAAGATTTATGTACTGAAAATCGGGGGAAATGCCGAGGAAAATACTAAGGCAACAGAAAAATAGAGATTTCAGTATTTTAAATTCGAGCGCGCCTAGCCAAAATAATAAAACTAGTAGAACATCGTGTCGCCGTCTTTTCGAAAACTTTTTACCTTCTACTCCAACAGAAATAACCTTCGAGATCTCCCTTAAACTCGCAAGAAGTTAAATGTGATTGTGCTGACTGTTTTATTTTTAGCTGAAAAAATTAACAGATAAAAGCTATTTTTTAAGTCAGCTAGTCTGCATTTTTCCCACGCGTGAAAAATTTGCATGCTAGAAAAACAAGCAACGGAAGTAATTTTGGTTGGCTGATGCGGCAAATGTCAATCAATCAAAAAAGTGGGCGGCAGACGTTTCGTAGAAGGTTTGTATCAGGCTCTCTTTTCGTTTCGCCATGCCCGCAGGAATGTAATTTTCAAAGCGAAACGAAAAGAGAGCCTGATCTCAGGTTAGTCGAAAGCGGTCTTACAAACTTGATTTATATGAGTATCCATACTAACTGAATTGTCAAATATCGTTCCCAAATTAAGCACACGATTGATGACCCTCCATACCACTTGAGAGCGTTTTGAGGAGAGGGCCGTCATAAAAAAGGACCTCTTTGCTTTACCAATAACTACCTTAATCTTTTTAGGGATATGCCTAAAAGCAGCCCATGATTCATCATTATTCGCATTGTGCGCATCCAGTTTCGGTTTATCTCTCTCAGCTTGTAGCTGTCTGATATCAGCTGCATGTAACCACGGGGCAGGAAGGCGGGTTATTTTAGCCCTCTTCTGAGGCGCATGTCGGTCTAAGCACTCACTGATAAGAGTGTTTATTAAGTCGACCATTTCATGCGGAGACTCCACAGCGTAAACAATATAAAGTGGCAGAGTGGAGAAATCATGCTTGTTCTCCCGTTGTTTTTTATTTTGAACCAGAATCAGTTGAACTGTAACGAGCGCCAAAAAGCCTTCGTAGGCGACGCCCCAACAGGAAGATCTGTACGATGTGATAAAAACTAGTTGGGTTTGGCCAGTTGAAGGTGACTTGACGTTACCCAGTATAAGCTGTTGCTTTGAAAGTATAAGGAAAAAAGGAACAAGTAAATAAAAATAAATAAAATAAATAACGATTTGGAGGTAGCACATCCACAAAGTGGTTCTTCGTCTACCTGATTCCTGGTCGAATTGGAATTTGAGAATGTTGGTTTTGAGGAGAGGGAAAAACCGGAGTACCCGGAGAAAAACCTCTCGGAGCAAGGGAGAGAACCAACAACAAACTAACCCACATATGGCGTCGTCGCCGGGATTTGAACCCGGGTCACATTGGTGGGGGGCGGGTGCTCTCACCACTGCGCCACCCTTGCTCCCCAACAAGTGCCATGTACACTAGGCCTTTCCGGATTCTGCTCCGAAAAAGCTGAAAAGTTGCTAAGAAATATGCCAAAAAGTTGCTCAAAAGTTGCTCAAAAATTTTGTAAAGTTGCTCGAATATTTTTAAGACAGCATGTCTAATTTTAATAACAATTGCTTTATAATCAACATTAAGGTACAACTACAGACCACAGGTTACTCCAACCTCGTTCCCAGGGCTTTTCCCTTCTCATGGGGGGAGCCCCCCACGAGAAGGGAAAAGCCCTGGGAACGAGGTGGAGGCTACCCAAACCCAATTCTTGTGATTAATTACCACGTCCACATGATACCCATTCAAAGGGTAAAAATACGAGTTTTACTAGAAAGATGTTTAGAATTTTAACCAAAAGAATTTTAACTTGTTTATTTTTAAAAACGGGGTTATTCAGCATTTTGGTTCAAAATAGCCCAAAAGTTACCAAAAAAGTGCTAGTGTTCCGAAAAGTTGCTAGAAGTTGTTCTCTGCCAAAAATTTGCTCAAAATCCTAAAAGTTGCTCAAAAGTTGCCGAGCAGAATCTGGAAAGGCCTAATGTACACTGCACAGCACACGGCAAAAAATTGTTTCATGGCTGATTATCCCATGCATGAAATCATGGATTTGGAGGAGTTAAAAGTGTACCGACAACTTTTATATATAAGTAGTGCTATTTGAAAACGTTCAAATAGTCTTCAAAATATAGACTAAGAGTAGTACTTTCTCTCAACATAAGCTACACCAAGCGACTTATGCGGGCGCATGAGATTATTTGGAACCACCTTTTCCTGTTTAACGAAAAAAAGGAATATAGCCATTGAATGCAGCTTATAGGATACCAGACAATAAGTACGCGCCTCAATTTCATGCGGCTAGATAGGATATGACATAAAATTGACGATGTCAACAAGTCTAAGAATCGGGGAAAATATATTTGCTTCCACCGGAGACACGGATTGGGTAAACTGATTGCAGGCATCTCCACTTATTCATTTATTTATTTGTTTATTTATTACGCTCATTATATTAATTGGAATTTAAAATAGTTTTGGGAACGAACTCTTGATTGAAATGTTAGGCCGTGCTCTAGAATAAGAATTGACCAAACAGATTCAAGAAGATTCGCACAAAGTTTGAAATTGTACCTAACAGAGTGACCCATCCATTAAGAGAGTGTCTCTTGTTCTCACACACGACCCGTTAAACATCCCAATCAATAAACAATAAGAATGCTTAAGGTGGGGGCCCAATCCAACAATGGGTACTCTTTGGCGGAAGCCTTCATATCCTTAGAAAAATTATTTTAAACTAACAATAATTAATTTAAAAACTTATTATAGTTAATTAAAAAGTGAAAATGCTTTCAGTCGGTGTAGCCATATTTTTCTATCAGCAAAGAAAAACCGATGCAAATGGAAAACAAAACCGGTTTTTTTCACGCCGGGTCAGCTTTACTCCTGAAACTGCAATATAGGAACTACTTTTACAGTTTTTATCCCTTTGAGCCTAACGTTTGCAGGATGGTAGAATTTTGTATTCCAAACAATCGGGTATTCTTTGTTTTTCGATTTTAACGGTTTAGGAAGTAAAATGACGTCATATGATTGACAGCAAAATTTTAAGTTCAACTAGTGTCGTAACAAATAGATAATTTTTAAAAAGCACGGCAAGATAGAAAAATGCGATATAATTCTTTTAAAATATCAATTGCTTTAGCATATATAGCATCTTGAAATGTGCTTATGTTTCTTAAAATGGTAACAAAATGGCGGGAAATTCAAGAATTAAAGCTTAATAACTCCTTAACCAATTGAGGTTTTCAAAAAAAAAAAATTTTAAAAATTGGTTTTGTCGCATCGTGCTCCTTAAAAATTATTTATTTTTCACATCGTTAGTTGAAATTTTAATTTTGCCGTCAATCATGTGACCTCATTTTCCCGCCAAAAACCGTTAAAATTTGAAAAACAAAAACAAAAACATACGATTGTTTGGAATACAAAGTTCTACAATCCTACAAAGTTTGAGCTCAAACAGATACAAACTTTAAAAGTAGTTCATTAGAGGACAATTTCAGGCGTAAAGCTGACCTGGCGTTTTTTGAGATACCCACTATCCTGCGATTTTATAATTCCGCTCGACGGCAAGGCAAAAGTCCCCCCATATTTCAATATGGACTGCGTCTCTTTGGCATAGAAATTAGTAGCCTTGAAGTAACGACAGTGGCAGTATAATTTGAAGTTAAAAGACAGTTCAAATGCTATATGACAATCATTTACGTATATGATTTTGTGCTAAAGGTATAACAAAATCACAATTTACTGTACAATGCAACCCTCCCAAAACGTTGTTGACCTACCTCGCTTTCTTCCCCTGAAGTTGATTCTGAACCAAAATCAGCTAAACTGGAACGAGCCATGAAAGACCTTCTTCGCCCAGGACGCGGCGAACGGACGATCTGCTGAGTATAATAAATAGAGCGTTTTTACTCACGTGACCTGTAGCTATGCAAATTTACTGTAGTAAAAGGACGAGTTAGCGTATTCCAAACAATCGGATATTTTTTGTTTTTCGATTTTAACGGTTTTTGGCTGTAAAATGACGTCATATGAATGACAGCAAAATTTTAAGTTTAACTAGTGTCGTAACAAATACATAATTTTTAAAGAGCACGAGGAGATAGAAAAATGTGATATAACTCTTTCAAAAAGCTTAACCAAGTGAGCTTTTCAAAAAATTTCCAAGAATTGGTTTTGTCGCGTCGTGCTATTTATTTTTCACATCATTAGTTGAAATTTTAATTTTGCTGTTAATCACGTGACCTCATTGCGCATTTTCCCGCCAAAAGCCGTTAAAATCGAAAAACAAAAAAAGAAAAACAAAAGCATACGATCGTTTGGAATACAAAATTCTACAATCCTGCAAAGTCTGAGCTCAAACAGATAAAAACTGTAAAAGTAGTTTCTAGAGTACAGTTTCAGGCATAAAGCTGACCTTTGCACCTACGTTAGACAACTTAAAAAGTTTTCAATGGACAAGAAGTTCGGGAATTTTATATTACATTGATCAATTGCAGCACTGAGATTTTTAAAAGAATGTCTATCGACGAATTTTGGTTATATCGCTGTTTTCGTGAGAGTAGAGTAGTAGGGCTTCAGCAAACTTAACCCCGTTGGTGCCTTCCCTTGCCTTCCGTATGCCTTCCCTTAATTGATATGCATAAGCCTATGACGTCACCTCGGAAAGAAGTGTCTTCCTGCATACTAATTTGGATTAGGTTTACTAATGAGCGTCACTCTACTACAATAGGAACAATAGGCTTGCCTAGACTTGCCCGGGCTCTTTTAACCCTGATTGGATAGTAAACAATCTATTATGTGTTCAACATAAAAGCGAGCTCTCCGTTCAGCATTTTATTCTTGCAATCGCTTTGTTAAGGAGAACATTTGTCCGAGTTCGCTCGTTTTGAGAAAACCTTTATTTATTTTTTGAACATCATGGCTTTCATTACCAACATTCGCGAATTTCAAGCTCTCTTGGATGGTTGTTCCTCGACCCACGATTGGGAATTATTGCTGGAATCTATTTTGATACGCGATGAGTGGATCCCAATGGCGTATGCTCGGCTGTCGGAACTCACAGCCCAAGAGATACCGGTAAGTATTCTATTTCGTCTCTGAGTTCTTTCCTGATGACGGTTTACGTTTAATCTGTACGTTACCGAAGCGAGTTTATATTAATCTTTACTTAACGTTCTACTCCACAGATTGAAATCAATCAGGACACGGGTAGTGATGAAGTCAGTAGTGATGAAATCGAGGAGATGGAACGTATGGCGCTAGATAAGGTAACTCCATTTCCTTTTTAATACGCAACGTACATGAATTGTTTAGTGATGAAACAACATTACGAATCTCCTTATTCGTTCAATGCCCACCTATTTCTTTAAAATGAGCCAGATTTCAAAACCTAAAGTAATCTGATTTCTTCTCTTCTTATCTAGAATAACAACGAGTCGGCACCGTTATCAGCGCAAGATACACGGGATAATTTTTTTGATGAGGTAAGCATTCATGATCATAAAATTATTTTTCTTTCACGGAATTAAGTTTGCACTATTAATTGTTCAATCACTCATGTGTATATTTCTGTTGTTCATTTTCAGTGGACTGGCGAAACCAGTGAATTACCCACTTGGAACCCGTCGGAAACCGTAAGTCATCTTTCATGTTTACTTGTTTAGAATACGCTGAATGCAAACGTTCCCATTAAAGTTTTTTGAAAATTAAATTGTTTAGGCTCACCCAAAAAGACAATATCATTCATTCCTAAGAGTCAGAAGAAAATAAAAGTTGGCTTACTATTTATGATTTTGAAGGCGTAAATAGTTTATTCTCAGTTATCGATTCCGCTCTTCACTGATCAAATATTGTCTTCTCCCAAAGTGAATTCGTTTTTGCGGATGAATGCACCCATATTGAAATCTATTCTATTGTTTTGTTGAAAATCAAAACAAAGCATTTGCTCAATGTACTAATATTCTTCAATCATCAAGCCGAGTTGAAGAAAATAGACAGCGTATTATATATACTCAAACAGGTATCAGAGCAATTTAAGCTATTTCCACTAAGCAGTTGATTATAGCAATATAGCAGAGTTATAATATTACCCGCGCGCTTATCTCTGAAAGTCAATTATGTCGTGGATCGACACATAAAATTTAAATTTATTCTGTTGATTCAACATCAAAAACAAACCATCTACCCAGTTGTTGAGACGCTCATTGTAGACAAATAGAGTTTATCAGAGTTTCTTGTTAGTTGAGCTTTACACTAAGACCAGGTCATATTTACTAATTATAGAAAATTCAATCCGGGGATGGTCACCCTCCACCAGCCAAAAAACCTCGTAAAGAATATCGTTGTGACACCTGCGACAAGACCTTCTCTCGCCCCAATCATCTAATTACTCACCAGCGAACCCATACTGGGGTGAAACCGTACGAATGCAACCGCTGTGATAAGAAGTTTGCCGACAAATCGGTACTTAATCGTCACCTGAAAGCGCACGACAAACAAGCTGCCGAACGGACGTTTACTTGCGCAACCTGTGTCGAAACCTTTCACAACCGCGCCCCTTACAACGCTCATATTCGCACCGCTCATCAACAACCCGCCGCTGCAACTAGAAAACGCACTGCTCAAAAAACTACAGATGCTCCGTCCGCGAAAAGATCTAAGAGGTCGGACCAAGCAAGTGCGAGAACAGCGTCAGAACAACCAACTGCCACTCAAGCATCTGCTGCTGGTTCCAGTTGGGAAGCGGATCCCGTGCTTATTCCCGCCAACCTTGTTCCTGCTACAGAACAGAATATAGCAGAAACGTACAGACAACACTGGCCTCAAATCCGGACCCGATTTAGTCGCACAAACAGACTACAAGATTGGTATAATTTCCGCCTGTCCACCATCAGTCCTTCAAGCCTCCGAGAACAACTGAACCGCATTTTTGCTGATCAGCCTACTGTGTTTAAAGTGAACTTTTCCTTTGGTTTTATTCTCCGTAATACAGAGGCTGGGGCCCTCCAGTATCATCATCCATCCGCAAACAACCATTTGGTGCTAGAACAACCGTTCCTGATTTCAAGTCCAGACGATTTAGAGCGCCTATATCAGCAGATAGCGGAGATCGATTTCCTGGAGTGGGTGCGGCAGCAGCGACCTAACAGTAAATGGGTGGTGGATCTCATCACGAATGTTACCTGGTTTGTTTGGAAGATTCGAGACCACCCGATCGGCCGTGGCAAATATCTACCAGGTTATATCGCCGACAACTACGGTCTTGACGCGCTGGAAAATAATGCGAAAACCGGTAAACCGTACGAAGATAATCTGTGTTTCTTCCGCTGTCTGGCTCTCCACAATGGTTGCCATACTAAGAACCTAGAAAGAGATACCAAGTACTATTACCAACAGTATCGAGAAGCTGGTCTCGCTAAAAAGAAATTTCATGGTGTCAAGATAAGTGAACTAGACTACCTAGAAAAATTGTATGAACTGAATATTCAAGTATACAGTCTCGCGCCTACTCAGAGCCACAGTGAAGACGAAGAATGAAGAAAATACTCCCGAGATTGCCGCCACCCTGCTTCGCCGCTCACATCGCCACTACTCCAGCACGCTTTACTTGAACTTGTACGAAAACCATTTCTCGTATATTAAAGATCTCGCCCGGTACAGTAAATCCTTCTGCTGTTCAAGATGTGGCAAGTACTGGAAACGCGCAAGTAATTTAAGGCAACATGAGAAAACCTGTGACGGCAAAGTCCAGCTGAAGTACCCTGGCGGAGCATATCACGTCCCTAAAACAGTGTTTGAACAACTAGAAGACGAAGGTATTGTCGTACCAGAAGAATGGCGGTACTTCCCTTACCGCGCCACCTACGATTTTGAATGTTACTTTGACAAGGAAAAAGCGCAAGAACTGAAGAACACAGAAAAATTGAACTGGGAATCGGCGCATGTTCCCCTCAGTGTGAGTGTGTGCAGTAACGTGCCTGGTTACCAAGCACCGAAATGTTTTGTGTCTAACGGCGACCCAAACGTGTTTATTACAGAATTTATGCAGTACCTCACCAAGATAAGCCTGAAAAGTTCTTCTATTCTCCGTGAACAGTTTGCACCTGTGTTTGAAGCACTGAAGCAAGTACCTAACCGCGATGACTCAACAGAAGACCGATTAGCGCAAATACTTGTTGATATCTAGGAGGGTAGTCAGCAAGCTGAAAGTGAAGAAGGGGAAGATAATGATGAAGAATTAAGTGACAACGAAAGAGATATCGATTTGATGGCAAGTGATGACGATGACGACGAGGAAGAAATCGAACCGGAGAATGAGGAAGATCGCGCGTTTCTCAATGATGAGGTAACAGAAAACGACCCTTCCTTTTACAGAAGACTGAACGTTGAGTTGGATACTGAGAGGAGACAAGAGAGGAGACAACAGCGAGATGAGCTAGCCCAGTACGAAGATGTGTTGTTTGGTCAAGAGCAGACTAGCGACAACAAAGTCTTAACAAAGCTAGCTGAAAAACTGAACGCATACTTACAAGAACTGCCCGTGCTAGGCTTCAACTCTGGCAAGTACGATCTCAACGCTGTGAAAGAATTTGTATTTCCCTACCTCATTGAGTCTCAACCCATCAAGTTCACTGTCAAAAGAAACAGCAACCATATGTGTCTCAAGACAAACTCCTTAAAATTTCTGGACATTTCGAACTATGTCGCGCCGGGTTTCAGCTACGATCAGTTCCTGAAAGCGTACGAGTGCGAACAGACCAAAGGTTTCTTCCCTTACGAGTGGATCGACAGTCTGGACAAGCTCGAAGAAACATCTCTGCCCTCGCATGAAGCTTTCTACTCAAGTCTGAAGAACCAAAACATTACAGAAGAAGAATATGAGTACTGCCAGTAAGTATGGGAAGAAAATGAAATGTCCACCTTTCAAGAGTTCTTAATCTGGTACAATAATTTGGATGTCGTTCCTTTCCTCGAGGCAGTAGAGAAAATGAGTCAGTTCTGGCAGGAGAGAAAGATCGATATGTTTAAAGATGGAATTTCTGTCCCTGGTTTAACCCTCAAGTACCTCTTCTCTTATCTTTCACCTCAAACTTACTTCAGTCTCTTCGATCAAGCGAACAGTGATCTCTATCACCTCATCAAAGACAACAACACGGGCGGCCCAAGTATTATTTTCGACCGATATCATGAAGCCGGCAAAACAAAGATCAGAGAAGCACAGGAAGGCGAGGCTGCTAAGCTGTGTGAGAAGATCGTGGGTTATGACGCGAACGCTTTGTACCTCTGGGCGCTCATGCAAGATATGCCCACGGGAAGTTATACGAGACGCCTGGCGGACAATGAGTTCAAACCGAAAAGTTCTGTACGCATGGCTATTGAATGGTTAGAATGGGTGGCGCACCAAGACAGAATACATATCAGACATCAGTTAAACAATACAGAAAAGCGCATCGGTGGTCGTAAACTGCCTGTAGACGGTTTAAACGCGCAGACGCAAACTGCGTACCAGTTTCACGGCTGTTATTGGCACGGCCATGACTGTGCTCTCAACCGAGGGAAAGAGTTTAACGAGAAACGCAAGAAACCTATGGCTGAGATCAGAGAAGAAACGAGAGCCAACACGGAGTATATCCGCAGCAAAGGGTACAACGTGGTGGAAATGTATGAATGTCAGTGGAGAGAAATGAAGAGAACCAACCGAGAACTACGGCGTTTTATTGCCACCGAAGTGAGAAGAACCCTGGATCAAGTCAAGATCATGAGTCCCGAGCGAATATTGAGCGAGGTGCGACATGAGCGTTTGTTCGGGTGCGTGGAAGTAGATATTCGTGTACCAGATCACTTAAAGGAAAAGT